AATGCATATGTTGAATAAATATGCAAATAGATTAAAGGGAGTTTAAAATACTGAACAGTAAATGCCCAATTATTTTTGCTGTGCAAAAGAATTGTTTCTCTTGGTGCTAATATATTCAGGTTGATAATGCGTGTAGCTAAAGCTTGTTTGCAAATTTATTCTAATCAATGTTATTAAACTGAAGACTGTTGCTTTACTCTTTAATGTTTCTTATGAATCATAGTAGTTTCTATAAAGAGAAATCAAGTAATTATCTTGACTGTAACCCTGGTGACTGTTTCCTCTGAGGAGACTGCACTGCAGCTTCTAGTGATCCATGTAGTGGCGATGGTCTATATTCTAACTCTAAAGGATCCCATTTGCATGAGTTTGAGATGAGTCCAAGTTAATAATGGATGAAGAAGCAAGTCGATATTTTTAGTTCAAATTTAATGCTGGGCTAATATAGTCAGGTAGCTTCTGGTTAACTTGGGGTCTGCAAAGTGTGCATATGTCTTTTTTTTTTTTTTTTTTTTTTTTTTTTTAACTTGTGATCTCTTCAAACCTAGAAAAAACACCCTACGTTTCTAAAAAGGCTTAGGAGTATGTCTTGACTCTGTAAGTCTCCTCAGTTTATTAAGGAGACTACGTGTATAAGATTTGCTTTAAATCTTGACATTTAAAATAAGTAAAATAAATCCAGAGATTAAGGCAGGGAAAATGGCTAAGGATGACTTGTGGGTACCTACAAATACTAAAAAGAGCCCCACCAAATGATTTGGTAAAGTACAAAACACAAAACCTTGTAATACATCAAAATGTTAGCTGTAGTAAAGAATTTTCTTGGACGTTTTGGAAACTGCTTGAATTTAATAGTAGAAATAATTATGAAAAGTCATAACTAAAATACTGAACAGTTGGATTTGCATTTTTCTCTTGTGATCACTTTTTTTTTTTAATATAAACCACTAAATTCTAGCTTTAAAATTGGATTTTCAAAATTAATCATTAGTACTTGAAAAAAGGCAGATATTCACTTGATCTTTTCTTCAGCTTCACGTTCATTATTAATTTTATGAGCAATAAAAAGCTCTTTGGTTAATGCTTTTTTAATTTCCCCATATAGGACATCTGAATATAAATTTCTGCATTTAGGAATACAATGACAAACTTCTAATTCTTGTTCTTCAGTAGTTCTCCTAGGTGCAGAGAAAGCTCAGCTCCTGTAAACCAAACTTGAACCTTTGCAATTGGGCCCTTTCATATTTGCAAACATCCCTGAATAATCTGGAACCACTTAAGAGGAAATGGAAGTGAATGCTATAGGCATTTGTGTGGTGTACGCCAAATTCATGACAGGAACAACTCTGAAGGTTTCAATGCAGTTTATATCCTTGATTTTAATCAACTTTTAGAAAACTGGCCAAAACTCAAATAGATAACTTGCTAATACAACATTGGCTTAAAGCAAAACCAAAAATCTTGTAGAACTTCTTATGAATCTTGTGTTGGTCAGATATATTGCTTTGCAGGGTGTTTTGTAAACTTGCCTAATGAGCAGAAAATATAGTGTGTATGTTTGTGTATATACTTGCATATGTACATGTGCATAGTATGCATATACATATTATGCATATACAATATGCATATTATGCATATGTACATAGATGTATTTTAAATATTTATAAACACCCAGAGAATAGGGACAAAGGCTTGGATTCCTTCTTTCCATGCTGATCTATTTACTCACTGTCCCTCCTTTCATGAAAAATATAAACAGGTATGCTGAATAAAATTGTCAGAGGATGAGAATTAATTTTGCCCCAAGCTGTGAATGTGATAGAATTCAGTGTTACGGTAGATCAAAAGTAAGTTGGCCACAATGAGACATTTTCCATAGGCTTGCTTACAGACATTTGCTTGTGTTGTGTATTGAATAGACGTTGCCTTTCAGAAAGTTTAATACAGATTCTGAAATCTCAGCCATTGCAGTCACCTAGACTTTTGTAACCAGTGTTGGAAGCTGTGATGGCCTCCGGAGTTCATATTGCCTCATCATTTGCATTTAATACAATTTTCTAGTCCATAAAATGAAGTAAAATGTTTTTCTGAATGTCTATACTTAATATAAAAAGAAAGCAAAAGTGGTTTTGACTACTAGATAGCTGGGAGCATTCATGAAATCAGCACAAAGCATTTCTTTGTATCCTCTCAGCTGTAGCAGATGCAGTTAATTGCTAACACTTTTCCCAGAGGTGCATTGGCAAAAACACTCATTATGCTGGTGCATCAGCATTGGAGTACACTGAAATTGTTATCTTACATGCTGGTATTGAAAAAGAGAAGAGGAGGAAAAAAAATAAAGTCAGTGCTAACTAAATATGTCAAATATGGAAACATAAGATCTTGTAGGAAAGTTAATATTCACCTTTATGATTTCTAAGGGAATATCATTATAGAAAAGGGAAAAAAAATAAAATAAATAAAAAAAAATTCAAAATTGATCATGATTTAATGGGAAGTATAAAACTGATTCAGGAAGAATTCTGGACAGTGAAGGTGCAGAAATATTGAACAGGTTTACAGTAAATAGGAAATATTACATTAGAGTTGAGATGAAGCAACCTCTTTAAATTTAAGCAATTAATAATCAATACCCTAGATAAAGGACTCAAAAAAATTTTAAGACAACAAATTAATTGGTTTCTGCTACCACAATCTAGTCAGGGCTCTACTCCTATCAAAGATGGAGTTTGTGTGAAATATTCCTCCTTTTTGCTTCCTGAAGCTTGTTTTGTGGTACTGTTCTCTTCCTGTCCAGATTCACAGCCCTGAAGTCTATTTCACAAGGAAGTGAGTGATGGCCATGTCGCAAACATCTTGCAGTGAAAATCCTCATGGAGATCACTATGGATGTCTGCTAGCTTCAGCTCTTTTCTTTCTCTCCCTCTGCAGCCACATGCTACAGAGACTTGTAAAGTAGGAAATGTCCCCTATGGCCTTTAAAAAATAATTTTTGAAAACACCAAGGAACTTCTAGCCAGAAAAGAAAAGGGACACCAATTTCTTTTGACCATTGTGAATAAGACTTCAGCATGTTTCATGAAATTGGTCCACAAAATTCCATTCCCAATAATGTATAAATGGAAACAAAATCATACAGAATTGAGGGATTTTTTTTTTTTCCCCTAGATAGAATGCACTTGTGATTTTCCCAAATGCATTTATTATCACTTTTTATGAATGCGTTTGAAGGACTTTTGGAAATTATACTGATAGGATCTAGCAAAGAGCTCATGTTAATCAATATCATACCATTTAAACAATTCACAAGTTTGGTCTTTCCTCTGTGCTTCCAGAAAAGTAGTTTGAAGTAATCTGCATTGATGCTATCTAATAAAGATGTATCTTTTATTTTATTTCATTTAAAGATGTATCTTTTATTTATATATATATATATATATGCTTGTATGATTGTACTGTTGTATGATAGTTAAAAGGCTTTTACAGAGAAGTTGTAAAGTTCAAACTTGTAACTGTATTCACTCACTAGTTTATTGATTTGCTTTTGAAATGTTGTGTTATTAAGTACAGTATGCTAATTAAAACGAACAAAGATGGATTCTTATTTTTGTGTAGTGCCTAGGAATTTTTCAAAAGAGTAAACCCATTTGAAAACTGAATACCAGCACTTTCTTTTTGTTGTTGTAATGACAGCATTTTATTGATGTTGAATATTTAATTATTTAATGTTATCATTTAATATTCAGATGTGTATTCCAGGAGCATCTGATCTGAAAAGTTCAGTGCAATATTAACAGTAAAGAATTACCTCCACTGAAAACGTGCAAAACAATGATGAAATTGTTTAATGCTTGAAACTTACATTGAATAGAGAGGAAAAGTCTACTCAATGTATGACAGAGGCAAAAAAGGCTTTTGACAAACATAACCACTTGGAATTAGGCAGCGTCCAGATTTGTTACTCAGACTGTCACTGCAGGCTGTAATGAAGCTCTCTGGTCATATGTTCAGGTAACCATCCACGTACTTTGTGTATTGTTAGAGGTTTCCTATTTAGTATAGTGTTTTATACATGTATATGGACACAATAATCTAATTACTATGTCATTATGCCAAAGCTGTATTTTGTGATTTGTGATTACTATTAATTCATGCATTTGAGAATTTTATTTCTAGGTTGTGATGGATCAATATAAATATGAAATCTCCAGAGCTGGGGGCAGGTCTTTATCGCTTAGTAGTAGCCAAATGATGCTAACCAAATAGAACTCTGGAAGTGCATTTAAAATACTGAAAGTGTATCATCAGCTTTGATACATGTGCAAGCATGCTGAGTGATTTTGTGTATCTCACATCAGGTTGATCTCCTGGTTATATGAAGAATTGATTGTTATGCATTGCAAAACAAAGGTAATGTGCTTCCATCTCATTGCACTATGCCTGCAGCACCTGTGCTTTGCAGCAGCGAAGGTACTCGTGTCCTGTCTTACAAGACCAGAAACTCTTCCACTGCAGTATCACTAAAGGGGGTGCTCTTGCTTCTCCTGTGCCACTGCCCACTGCATTGTATGAAGGCAAGAAAGTGCCACTGTCATTTCAAGCCCTGATGGTGACCTCTGAATCCCAGCTCCCAAAGGCTCGGGGTTTGTAGGCGTAACTCCGCACTGCGTGGTTCTCTGCACCTTGTCAGCTTCCTGCTGAATCGGGGTTCCCTGCTGTCAGGCTTCCCCACTCTGGTAGCAAGGCTACATCGACGTCTGCCAGGCCTGCCTCTTCTGCTGCACCCTCCTGTGTTACCAGGAGGCTAAGAAGGTGCTAAAAGAAATCAGGAATGCTGATTGTGACAGAATGCAGTTACATACTAGTGTAGCAGTCATGGGTATGAAAGCGTGTTGCCTACATATACTAAAAATACTGAGCACCTCCCTTTTTTTCCACTTCTGATTTGACCTTGAAAACACTTTCCGTTATTCAGGGTACTCAGAAATAGACTTGCTGTGTAACAGACGCTGGGATGTCTACATGCTGACATGCAAATTCCTGTGGGTTGCATGTGGCTGGGAGAGAGTTCATTGCCTCTGCTCAGTGATTCACTACAGAATCCCTCTGATTTGCCTGCTGGAAAAGCAGAAGAGCTGGTGAAGTATTCAGCATGCTCTGAATTATTCAGTGTGACAGATCAACTGAAAGAGGTGGTGGATTACAATCTTTGTAAGATTTTTATCTTCTACTGCTCCAGGTTTATGAATATTGTGTAGATTAAAATGTTACACAAGTCAGGTGAATGTTAGTGTCGTAGGCATTTTAAATACAACCAAAATGTTAGTATTTCAATATATGCTTTTTTTTTTCATATTTGCAGCTGATGTTTTGACAACATTTCTAATAAGTAGCAACAAAAGGTTTGTTTCTCCCAGTTAGCTTAATCCCTTTGAAAATAACTGAAAGCACTATTATTTGCCATGAAAAAAAATTCTGTGCAAAAATGGGACTTTGCTACAGTTTCTAAAAACTAAAAAGTTTCTTAAAACTAAAAAGTGTCTTTGTCTTCATCAATTAGATTACAAAACCACAAGAGGCCTTAATCCGAGCTTTGTTTCTCATCTAGGTACTCTAGATAAAATAATCTCTTAATCTTCTTTCTGAGAATGTAACATGGTATAAACTCTGAAGGTTCTCATGATTAAAATACATACATATATATATAGTGATAAAAGGCATTCCAGTCCTTTAAGTACCTTTTTTTTTTTTCTGAACTCTTCAAATTCTGAAATTGTGTACATGAGAAATTGGTGATCATATTCCAGCAATGGTCAGTCTAGCAGCTGTATTTCCATTGATAATGTCAAAAGTTCATATGTCTAAAAATTACATTAGTCTTTCTGGCCAGATTAATATTGATTTTTTTATAGATGTGAGAATGAATGTAATAGTTTTTAAAGGGCTGGAGAGGAGGCACACATTTCTACAATGCATTTAATATTGTGCAGACATTTTTCATTTTGATATCTGAAAGAAATTTCAAAATACACAGATTTTCATTTGAAGTCATTAGCTTCTTGCTTCCTGCCTATGAGTTCTATGAGATTACTTGCAATGGCCCTAAAGTAATTCCAAAGAAGCCTTCAGTACAAGAGAAACAAATCATAGAAGCACCATGTTAGAGACCGAATGCAAGAGATGTTTTCTTTAAGTGTCCCTTGGGATCTAACCTTGCATGGCTTTTCTAACAAAAATGGTTAGAGTAACTACCTATAAGCAGGTGCTACAACCTGGCAAACAGCAGAAAAAATGTAAAAATACTTCTGCGAAAGAGTTTACAGATCAGCTTGCAGGCTAAATTGTATAGGGAGAAAGAAGTAAACAAAGCTTTGGTTTAGCAACAAATATTTTAGGCGTATGAGAATTTCAAAGGCTGAAGGGATAGAAAAAAATCTCTATTCAACCACAGGTCACTATGCAGTGGTTTTATTTTGTATTTCAATACTGAAAATTAAAGATATTTCAGGGTGTTTTTGGGGGGTGGTTTGTTTTTCCTGTAGAATTTGATAATGCTGCCATAGCATCTTTTATGTCAGAAACATGAAAATGCATGAAGGAAAAATGAAAATGTGAAACATACAGAGAAAGCAGTATATAGAAATTACAGCTAAGTAAATGGTTACGGGAAAAAAAATGTTGCATAAAAGTGGTCCTGAATTCACTGAATCATTTCACTGAATTGGTTACAAACATGCTGCTCAGACTAACCAACATAACTACTCTAATACCATGATGCAGTCATTGAAGAGTCCAGTGCCTAGGACCTGGTCAGAACAAATTTGACAAGAGGAAAGTGTTGCTATGTCAGGGTTCTTAGAGTGTGTGCTGCCCAGGCCTTTTCCTTATCAGCTATCCAAATCCAGAGCTGAATGGTGAAAGTGGTGAGGAAAATAAACATAAAGAAAAACAGAATAATCTGCATAGCATCTGGCTTTAGGCCACCAAAACTAACCATGATTTTGAGTCAAGTAAAAAATGCCAGAAACGTTTCCTGCTTTGCTGGTTGCTTATTCAATACCAGTCTGTGTATTCTAAATTTTGGATTTGGCTACACAACCAAAAATCGTGATTTTTTTTTGTTGTTGTTGTTCTTTCCCCTGCTGGGAGCTGGAAAGCTTGGACTTAATTTAGCTTCCACAATACTTTGCCTTATCCAAATTGCTGTTCAACATTCATTATGTTCCTCTGTTCATATTACTAAGCCTTTTTAGTTCGAGGTTTCCAGAAAGATGATTCAAATCCCTAACATTCTTGTTCTAAACTTTCCACTTCTTTAAATATATGGTCTTTAGTACTAGGTTACAATTGTGTCTGAATAATTTTGCTATCAAAGCAAGAATAAGAAAGTATTTTAAGAATATTGAGCTGCATGCAGATATTTGAGAAACAGAGGGATATGATCTGAAGCAACTTTTGCCTGGTATTGTTCTATTTTGGTCCTTCTGCGTATGCGGTTGTCAGTTGCTTCCTTGAGTGCTGGAACCTCGTGTCACAGATGTGTCAGTCCCCATCGCATCCAGCAGCTCTAGTGGAACAGTGGCTGTAGATTAAATAGTTTTAGTAGACTGCTTAGAAACCTAATTTGATTTTGTGTGAACTTGGGATCAGTAGTATTTTTATTAGTGAAACTAGATTTTTGAAGTGATGTTAGTTCTTTTTCTTTTTCTTTTTCTTTTTCTTTTTCTTTTTCTTTTTCTTTTTCTTTTTCTTTTTCTTTTTCTTTTTCTTTTTCTTTTTCTTTTTCTTTTTCTTTTTCTTTTTCTTTTTCTTTTTCTTTTTCTTTTTCTTTTTCTTTTTCTTTTTCTTTTTCTTTTTCTTTTTCTTTTTCTTTTTCTTTTTTTATGCTGTGTAAAGTGACACAAGATGTTTCCCTGTTAATAAGCAGGCTTCAATTCTTTATTTTGCTCTGTTTCTGTGTTCTACATAATAAGATAGTAAGAATGCGTAATAAGATGACTATATAAAGCCTTGGGTCCTTCATGCACTTTTTTTTGGCTAGCTTTCTTCCAGAATGTGAATTGAGTGGCACTACTCCCCACCCCTGTTCCCTTTAAAAAAAAAAAAAAAAAAAAAAAAAAAAAAAAGGCTTAGTGGTTTGTTTTGTTTTTTAATTGGATGTCCTTGAGATGCGTTACAGTCAAAATATTATGGTTTTATCCACAAATAAAAGCTTATGCTATTGAACCCACTAACTAGATTTCTACTGATGCTTGAAATGTTTTGACTAGGAAATGGTAGGAGAAGGAGAAAGTGTATGAGCAGAACATAGAATGACTGAGACAAAAATTTATTGATCTATTCAGCAGGGTATTTCACAAAGAAAGAAGTGCAATTGTACAAAGGGTTGGTGAGAATGTCATGGGATACTGTGCCTGTCTCTGGTTGCTGAAGATCAAGCAATATGAATTCAAAGAAGATTGAGTGTAAAGTGCTGTTCCTTTGAGGTTAAGAGGGGAAAATACAGCAGAGAGGTTGGGAGGAATGGGAAATGACTAAGGGACAGAGGCTTAAGGTGTTGTTACATCAACCAAATGTGAATTGTGTTGTGTCTGTGCTTAATGAGAATTAAAAGTAGGAATCTCTAGGAAAAAACACATTGTTACGTAAGATCCATGAACTGTCAATATGACTTGAATATTATAACTGTAGAAGTGGATTATGTAGATGTAAAAACTTCGGTCAGAAGTTAATGAATCTCTGAAGGTTAATGAATCTCTGAAGTGGGTTTAGTTTTTCCAGAAATTTTTATATTATTATATATTTTCATGTTTTGAATAAGTAGCCTGTAACCTATTCATTTAATCATAAACCATCTAATTTGCTCACTTGTTATTCGTTATTTTACAGTATATGATAGGTTTACAGTATATGATTTACTATGCTGTAGATTTTGCTTGCTTGAAAACTTAGAGATACTGGCTTGAGTAACATTTGAATATAGTCAATATTCAGAATTCATACATTTCTAGTGTGAGATCAAAACCACCACATATAGGTGAAAATGTGAGGGAAGTAATTAGAAAGTTATGATTAATGCAGTAAGAGATTTAAATGCAAAGCATAACTGGATGTGAACAGAACAGAATTGTAAACAAGGTCAGGCTATGAAATAGTGCAAAAATCATTAATTCCCAGAGGAAAAACAAAAACAAAAAGGCTACTCATACCTATTATTTCAAGGCAATTATTTCTGTCCGAAATTGAATCAGATTAATAGAGTTGTGTTTCTTAAGAGGACGTTCTGAATCAGAGTATGCTAAATGTGCCTATACATAATTACTTAATTATATTGAAATATAAAGTCGTCCATATACCTATGCAGGTACATAAAGATACCAATCCTCTTTCTTACTCTTAAATGTCAAGACATCTTCTCTCATAGTTTCTGATTATACTTATTTTGTTCTTTGTTTTTGTCCTTAATAGGTTCTTTTCCATTCTCAGTGGGTTCTTTTTTAGCATTTCAGAAACCATTCACTTCTGCCAGAGAGAGCCTAAACAGCAGAGCTGATTTCCCCAAGGAATTTGGGAAGGACAAAAACAGTTTGTGTGGATAGGGTGTTCTCTGATTTTGTAATGATCTTCGTATATAACACGTGTGTTAGTTTTAAAATAGTATCTAGACAGCCCCAGGTCTATGTGTGGCAATAGGTACATACAGACTCCTACAGACCAGAAGGAGTAAGAATGATAAAGTAAAATAACTACGCTAGTTAGACACTAAGACAAGAAGAACAGAATTTGGATAATATTCTCCCCTGCACAAAGCTGTTTTAAAAGTATCCAAATGTATCGTTACCCTGTAGAGGGTAATGATAATTTATATATATTTATATAAATATATAACTTATATATATTTATATGTGCGTGTGTGTTGCTTCTTAAAGATTTGTAATAGGATTTTTTTTTCTATTAATATATTTACATTTATTTTCATCTGACCATATTCTTTTATTGGACTTCCTAATGATAGTTCCAAACAAGTTTGCTTCTTCTGATAAAGGAGAGAAATTATATTTTTTTTCAATTTCATGTAGTTTACCTTCAATAAAATCTACAAATTATTTTTCTCCTTGATAAAGGAACCAGCTAAAACTATAGTTGTATTTTGACTTTTTAAATGCAGTTCTGATCAATTGTAGAGAATTTACTTAGGCTATTTATATAAG